CAACTATTGTAATGGGTCTGTGAATTAAAGAACATGAGGAATGCCAGTATGACAGGCAGCTTAATACTGTGCTTTAATAAGCGTTACTGTGGAAGTGTTACACTGACAAAAGTGAACCCAGCATCTAAATGGCACACAGAGGGAATTTTCCAATATTTTGTATTGTTTTTTTGTCTTCTAGAGTATCAGGGCTTCAGGGCTGGTGCTGTTGGAAACTATTCTTTTTGGATCACTTCTTCTGTACTTCCCGGTAAGTCAAGCTACAACTTTTTTGAAAAATTATATCCTTGCCAACATTTTAAAACATTGTATGAATCACCTTGGTGAAAATATAAATGCCAAAACTCTTTATGCCATGATTAGTTTAATGTGACTATAAAATGTGCTGTGTTCTATAAATATTCTCAAGAACACTTGAGTGTTTTACTGTATTTGTAATAATTCTTCATTTTCAGCTTAGGGAACTTTCCAGTGTTTTTTTGCTTGGAGGTTTTCAGATGTTCTGGGTTAAGCTGAGTTTTTGCTTTGATAGACGATACCTCTCTAAACTATGCGTTGGGAAAAATACGCAAGGTGCGTAAAAGGAAGACACTGATTATACCAAGTATTTCTCTGGAGTGTAGTCTAAAGGAGAGTATTTATTTCAGTGTACTACTGGCATATATTTTGATGTTTCAGAAGCTACGTGACATCTGCAATACCATGTATTTGGGAAAATGAGATGATATTATCCCTATGCTATAAGTGGGGGGAAAAAAAGTAATTTCGCAGTTGCATGAGGAATATATCACAAAACTCATGGAAGTATATACCCTTTCTCTTTTCAAAAATCCCAGAAAACCTGAGCTTTTTAATTAACACATAAAGCCAATATAATTACTAGATAAGACATCAAAGTGTAAATTGAATGAAGTTGACAGAAAGTGTGCAGATCAGGAGACAGAAACAAAGATGGAGTTGCAGATTATTTTAAAATCTGGTTACATTCTGTTTTACTCAATAGTCAGAATCTTCTGTGCCTTTAAAGACCATCATGTAGACAGTTCTATGATTCTGTGTAGTTACTGACAGACTAGCTGGAAAACAAAACTCCTTAGTAGTTGCAGAACAAGTAGCAAATAAACTGTAGTAGAATGAGGTGTGCAGAATACTATAATAAACATAAATCCCAGTGGAATTTTTATAAATTATTTTTTGAATCATGTGGGCTTTTCAAGTTCTAAAGAAAAAGTGTATGCATTTCTAGGATGGTTTTGTGCGTTTTTTCATCTTTCACTTTGCGGATATCAGGAAGAAAGAAGTTTTGTTTTTTTTCCATATTGTACAAATGCTTTTTACAACTTGCAATACCTCTCTCCGGGATTTCCAGAGCTCCTTTCATATTCTTTTCCAGTGAGCAGAACGGAAAGCCCATGCACTGCTTCCTCACCTGGTGTAGAAATGCGGTGAAGCATTTACAGAAATTCATAGCATAAAGCATAATGCCGAGGGTTGTTTCCTTTCCACAGCTGTCTCCTCTTTGCTTTCCCAGAGAACCCCAGAGCCATGTAGTGGCTTTCCCAGGTGGAGGCTCCATAAGAACCAGTCAGTGTTTGTACAACCTCAAATCCAAAGCATGCCAGAAGCCTCATTGTAGCTCTTGCTGTGTCTGCAGTCTGCTCACCTGTCACTGATTCTTACATTTCTTTCCCAGTTCTTGTCATGATCCTCTAACTGTATTTCACGAAGGACAAATGTCCTTTGGTGGTTGGCTGTCTTCAGGTGCTCAGCGTCAGGGATACTGAGATACTGGTGGTGGAAAAAGACTTCTCTCTCAGCAGTTGACTTGAAGAAGAGCCATCGTGTTAGCTGGAAGAGATGGCCCTCCACAGCCTTTAAAGGCAGAGGGAGAAGCGAGGAAAGGAAATGGAGCTGGGAGGGAGCGGTCTGATAACTGAAGCATCCCCTCAGCTTTTTACTGATGTTTAAACATTTCCCCTTTTTGTTTTCACGGACATTAACTGTGTTAAATGTACAGCAAGTACAAAATGACAATTTGGCGTATTCTGAGGAAAAAACTCTTGCTGAAAATTCCTGATTAGCCTGTCTCCCACTTGGGATGTAGATACTTGACTAGAGCTTGTCCTTCTCTGCACATTTCATTCTCATACTATATAAAACTGCCCACTGAGAACACATTCTGTTAGAAACTAATATGCAAAGTGTATGACCTGACTTCTCTCTTATAGCAGTTATGCTCCCACACTCTTTGCTGGGGCTCTCTTTCTTTCTTACACAGGTAATTACTGCTCAGGCTATTATTCCTACAGGCTGAAACAAAAAAGAGAGAAATTTTATCATTTCTATTTTCAAGGTCTTAGGGGAGTGATGTAGAGAGTGTGATAGTGGGAAGTCGTATTAATGTTCAGACAGAGAAATTAATCCTGATTTTACCAACCACAAGAATATGGTTTTGTAAAAGACGAAGATTGGGACTGATACAGAAGTATCAGGATTTCAGTATCGCTGTCTCTCAGTTCACTGCAAGGAAGATTTCATCGATTTCTGATGCAGGGCAAGACAGTGGAACAATAAATGTGTGAAGGCTGTAAAGCACAGCCAGAGAGGTCTGCTATGTAATGCTTGAGAAAGAAAAGCCTGTGTTTCTGCATGGTATGAATTATGGGGTGTGAGTCCTTGGACTGTGAACTCTTGACGTTTTGCTGTACATGGACAGTATCTAAATGCGCTGACCTGCTTCTTATCTGGAAAAGGAGCATAAAGCAGAGCAGGATGGAGTAAGAAAGAAAGAAAACCTGAGCTCTAAATGGAAGAGTCTCATTTGCACCATCTGACATTCATATACATGTTCATTTATAGCAAGGTGTAGAGCGTAGATTATCAATCATCATATTGGTTGTAAGTCACATATATACAAAGCAGATCTTCTTTTTCCTGGTTCGTATCCATTGTTTATCTACTTCCTGTTATTTGGTGTTTTTATTTCTTTCTGAGAAGAATCGGGAATATTCTGTAACTCAAGACTTAGTAACATGCACAGAGGTAGAGTTTTTTCAACTATTTGATTTGATCCTCGTTTTATGATAGGTGAGTACATTAGAGCTTTAAGACTAATTAATATAGATCTCACCTTCTACACACCTGAATTAAGCTACATTTTGCAGAGCTAGCATAAAATCCAAGTTAAAATACGCAATGGAGTTCACCAGTTTGGGCCAGACAAGTGTCACTGCAGTAAGGTGTTTTCCTTTAACATAAGGCTGTTTTCCTTTTTGTATCATCTCTTCTTCTATTGTGATTTGGAAGGTAAAACCAAAAAGCTTTACTTTAACATTCGACTAAGTGCAGAATTACACAGCTTGCCTTAATGCATGTACAATGTAAAGAGATAAAATGACAGCATTTCAGTTCTAAATAACTCAAATCTCTGTTCGTTTAAGGATTCAGTGCAAAATTACATTCTTATTTAAAAATCAAAATCCTCTTAGATTCTTCTCAACGCTTCTTTAAGTCTTTTGTGTCTTTACTCTCCGCTCCTCTACTCTTTCCAAATTCTGTCTTTTTCTAGATCCATTCACCCAGTCTGTCTTGGATTGGTTTGAGAGCCTTCAGCATACAAATGTGTCTGTGTCCAGAAGGGTTTTATTGCATCTCAGACTTTCCCTGCCTTCCAATTAAGTGGAAACCAAAACCTACTTTGTTGCATTGCTTTATTTCTTTCACTAATTGTCATTGTTTTTGTGTCTACATCCAGTAATCTATTCATAGTGTAGCATCATTAATTGAAAAATAATATCAGCAGCCAGCTGCTTTTGGTGGGAAAAACAGCTGTTACAGTGGCCTTCTAACCAAACAGGAAGTGCAAATGATGGTCTCCACCAAAATTTATTATTCAAATTCTGCTATATTGATAGCAACACACTGATCTTTCCTGAATTATAAGCAGGCAGACGAGCTTTGTCTCTTACAAATGCACAGATTTTACCCAGCAGTTGCTGGGCAGCTCTCATTTCTGAAGCTCTCATTTCTTATATTTTCTCTAATTCTCACAGTAACATCTCTGATTTCCCTATACTTAGTCTTTCCAGTTATTGATGGACCTCCTCCAAATGAACACTGGTCTTTCCAATTGATTTTGCTTATATTTTTTTATTCTTAGTTTTTGAAGAGAGGACCAAAACCTGATTGTCTTATGGAGGAGTCTCTTGACTTCTATACTTGGCACCTGAGAGGAGAATTCTCATTACATCCCCTTTTCCAGAAATACTGACTGTGGTGGAGCTTTTAGACCTTTCCTGACTCCCTGCCTTGCTAATGCTTGGAACACATCTTGCATTAACACAGGTTTGAAAACTCTGTGAATATTGCAAAGACCTTCAAATAAAGCAGGCACAAACCCAATGTTGTAATAGAGTAGCTTGTTAATTGCATTAGGGGTCAAATCTCAGGTGATTTTAGACATCTGTAGTGGACACAAGTTGGAAAATAGGGAATTCTGGTTAGATACCAGGAAACATTTTTTACCATGAGGGTGGCAAATACTGGAACAGCTTTCCCAGAGAGGTTGTGGAATGTCTGTCCTTGGAGGTATCAGGACTTGACCGGCCCCAACTCTGAGCAATCTGACCTGATTACACCTGCTTTGAGCAGGGGGCTGGACTAGACGACCTCTGGAGCTCCCTTGCAAATGAAATTACTCCATGACTCTGTGTTTCTTATATAGGTATCCATACCTGAAACAGTCATCCTATGCTCACCAAATAGCTAGTGAAGAGAAACTGGGACTTTTATGATTCGTTTTAGACTTCAACTTGAAGATGAGGTAGATCATGGCCAAAGCTTCATTGACTGTAAAGGGAGCCTGGGATACTTCCCTCAAATGGTGATGAATTCCACCCTAGGCAACTGTGGGTTAGCTGGTATATAAAACATTTTCCATACTGCTAGTCTATTTTTAACTGAAACTATAAAATGCACTCCTAAATCCATGTGATACTATGATATAATTTCTACGGCCAGTGATAAAAGTTAGTGAGTCCTGGCTGTGTGACAGGACTCAGAGGGTTGTGATCAGTGTCATGAAGTCTAGCTGGAGGCCTGTAACCAGTGGTGTCCCCCAGGGGTCCATACTTGGTCCAGTTTTGTTTAATATATTCATTAATGACCTGGATGAGGGGACAGAGTGTATCCTCAGCAAGTTTTCTGATGATACCAAACTGGGAGGGGTGGCTGACTCTCCAGAGGGCCGCG